AATAATAATAATCATCTTCTTAAAACCATTCATCTTTTGATACTTTAATATCATGTATGCTCTCTAAAGGTATTATTTGACTTAGAATAAGTATAAAAATATACTTAGGATTATGTGGAATATCTTGAATACTCTTAAATTTAGCAATAGAATCAGTATCTGGATCAACAATCATATATCTTTCATACATTCTTAATTTAAAATAGTTAACTTTAAAAACCTTTCCTTTTATTAATGGCGGACGTTATGGTTTATTTATAATGAAAGTCTCTAAGTAATTTGATAACAATTTACATCTTTGACTATATTATCTAAACTAATTCCAATCATTGAAGAAATGAATGAAGTTCTATGACTTTAAACAATTTATAATTCATTTTCATGTTTTAATAATTATTTTACTTTTGTACGTGCAATATCAATAGCCCTTTTATTGTTTTTATCTAATATACTATTATTTATATTTATATATTTATACTTTAAATCAATTTTTGGATGATTAAGTAATAATTAAACAAATTCTGTATCATCATTTTATGCTGCTAAATGTAATGCTGTTCCATGTTTACTTAATTGATTTACATTTAATTTTGATTAAGCAAGTAATAAACAAAATACTTAAATTAATGAAAATTCATACTTGATTTTTATTTTAGACAAACAGATAAAGAAAGACAATCCCAACCATCTTTAGTTTACAAATTGACATTTGCTCCTTCAGTTAATAACCATAGAAATAATTTATCAGAACCTGCTAATATTGAAACATGTAAAGCTGACCATCCAAAAATACTTATATCATTTAAGAAAAATTCTTTTTATTCGATATGTGATTAAAGCAAATTTTTAGCTTCTTCCAAATTATTCTTCTATATATATTCATAAAATTATTCAATTTAAAGGGCAAGAAAACTGTTATATATTATATTCTTATCTCTTTATGAAAATGAATTCTGAATAGATTTTTTTAGAGTTGAAGCAGTATTTTAATTTAATGATTCAAAGGAATCATTTTGATATATTTAAGATGCTCTAACACTAAATTAATCTTCACTATTTTTAACAAACAAAACACCTTCATTAAGAAGTTTTATTTAACTTAAGTATTCATATTTATATATTTGTTTCATTTCTTTATTGTGAACTATATAAAGTTATTGATCATCTACTTCTATTCCTGTTACTCTTTCAATTTAGAGTTTAAGAGTTTATAAAGTTTCCTTTGAGGAGATTTCAATGATACAATCTTACAACTCTCCCCATGCATTAAAATATTTGAGCTTTAATTTCATTTTATTAAAATAAAGTTAATAATAATATATGAACAATATTTAATTATAGGGTTATTAAGTAGCAATTCAAACAATAAGAGTTCTAATTTTTATTAAGAAACAGAATAAAATTATTCATATATATATATGTTTTATCAGTAAATATTATTATTTTTAATTAAATATGAACGTTTAATCAACTCACTAATCTACTTTACAAGATTTCTAAGTCATTCAAGAATTAGGATCTGGTTCTTTTAGCAATGTTTATAGAGTATTAATTTTTTTAATATTTTTAGGTCAAAAGAATTGCAGATGGATAAGAATATGCTTTAAAAAAAGTTAAAATAGCTAACTTAAAATAAAAAGAAAAATAGAATGCACTAAATGAAGTTAGACTATTGTATTCTATAAATCACAAACATATTGTTGCATATAAAGTAAGTTCTTTTGAGAATTTTAGGAAGCCTTTATTGATGAACCTTCTTAATGTCTTTGTATAGTTATGGAATTATTATCAGGAGGAGATGTCTATAAAAAGATATCTCAAGCAAGAGGTTCCACTCCATTTTCAGAAATGGACATTTGGAGAGCACTTATTCATATTACTTTAGGGTAATTTCGAATTTATATAACTGATAGATTAAAGGCACTTCATGATTAAAAAGTAGTACATAGAGATCTTAAATCTGCTAATGTTTTTTTATCAAATGATGGAACTTTCAAACTTGGAGACTTAAATGTATCCAAAGTTGCAAAAGGAGGCTTTGTATATACATAAACTGGTACTCCATATTATGCAAGTCCAGAAGTATGGAGAGATTAACCATATGATATGAAAAGTGATATTTGGTAATTATTGTTTTTAATTTCTCAAAGGTCACTTGGATGTGTAATATATGAAATGTGTTGTCTTTAGACTCCTTTTAGAGCAAAAGATATGGATTTATTATTTCAAAAAGTTTAAAGAGGAACATATGATAAAATACAAAGTCACTTCTCTAAAGATTTATCTTAAATTATATCTAGTTTATTGTAAATAAATCCTAATCAACGACCAACTTGTGATTAAATACTTGCAAATCCAATTGTTTAAAAACATATGAAAAATTTAGAAACTAATATAGAAACTAAACCAATCAATAAAACACTTATTGAAACTATTCAATTTCCAAATAACTTTAAATAATTGAAAAATCAATTACCTAAGGTATTATTAATATATAATATTATTCAGTCAAATTATGATGAAGTAAATCCCAATGTTAGTGCTGAAAGAGTATAAGACAATAAATCTACTGATAAATCTACTAGTCCATTTAGATATTCTTAATAATAATAATATATTCCTATTAATGAATCTAGAATAAGTTAAAGTTAAGTAAATGTAATATAAACAAATTAATAATCTCCTTAATAAATTAAGAATAGTTCTATATTGGAAAAAAATTAAAGTGTTGTTCAATAATCTTAATAAAATCTTAGATAATAGTCATTAAATAATAAAACTGAAAAACCTTAATCAGCATAAATAAATTAAAGATAAAATCCTTATGAAAGAGCACATGAATTAAGAGAATAAAGAGAAAGAGAAATCAAATAATAAAGAGAAAAAGATTAATTATTAAGAGAAAAAAGAGAGAGAGATGCTAGAGATGCTAAACTTGCAAAAGAAGCTAAAGAAGCCAAAGAAGCTAAAGAAAAATAATAATAAGAATCTAAGCTTCGTGAAAGTAGAGAATAATAAAGACTTTTAATGGAAAAATAATAAAGAGAATAATAATAATAATAATAATAATAATAATAATTTAGAAGAGTTTCTCCAATCTCTGCTTAACCTCGAGATTATTCTTATGCCAATTATATTAATTAACAATAACCTAGAAGTCAACATTCCTATTCTCCTATTACTAGATCAATGGATTAATAAAATATTTAATTGGGACAAAAGTATAAATGTAAATCTATATAGTAGCTAAAGAGCTAATTATAACAATTAGATTTAATAAAGACCAATTATAAGCTAATCAATAAATGTTAATTAAAATTATCCCAATCAATAAAATAGACCTTATAATTAAGAAACATCGTAACATAGGCCTTCATAAACTCCACAATCTGCTGCTCCTCGACAATAATACAGTCCTCATTAAAAACCTATTACTGATAGGTATGCTGTTCCTCATCCACAATCAGCTTTACCTTCTTCAAATGTTAGAGAAATTTAAAAAACTGAAAGACCTTAAGTATTTCCAACTTAAGCTAAAGTTATTAAATAAAGATAATCTGATTACAATTAGAAAAATGATTTTACATCTCCCAATTAATAGGCTATTAGACCTGCTGGAAAACCTTCAAGACCTTAATCCAATAATATATTTTCTTAAAATGATAGAATTGTTAAGACTGATTCTAGACCATAAAACAACTTTATCACAGGTAATTATAATCATTATTATCCAATTGATAATTATTAAAGACATGCATCAGATCAAAATTTAATAAGATATTAGTAAATATTGAGTATATTTTAGACTTCGATAATAGGATAGATAAGTATTACTACGACCATAGATTAATAATAGGAAATATTGAGTTTTGAATTATATTACTCAAGTTAAGTAAATTATCGTTTTTAAATTTATTATAATATTATTCTTAAAAAAGTATGTTCAGAAAATATAGTTTCTCTGAAGAAATTGTGGATAATGATTTTAGCAGAGAATGGAATTGGGATGATTTTATATAAGATTCTAATTCAAGATTGATTAAAAAAAGGACAGTTCATTTTACTTAATAAGAAGATGATCTATTATGTTAATAAGTTGCATTACTAGGAAGAAAATGGAAGAAAATAGCATAATAATTTCCTAATAAATCAGATAGGATGTTGAGAAATCGATTTATCAAATTGCAATAATAATCTGATATAAGTAATATAAAACTTTATACATAAAGCTGAGACAATTTTATCGCCAAAATTAGATTTAAGTAGTCATGAAGAAAAAATACAAAAAAAACGGAAAATTAATGAACAATAATTATTGATCTAAATGAACCATTTAAAATCAATAAAACAAAAAATTGAAATTATTTCTATTCTCGTTTAATAAACAAAAATAGAATTGATAAATTTACTCACTTCTCGTACTTTATGATTATCAATCAAAAAATTAACACATGAATTACAATTTATTTATTTCAAAACTAAACATAATTATTTATTCTAATTAATTATTAATGTAATTAAATTGATCAATTAATTTATTTTATCATATCTTTATTTTTGATTTAACATATTGAAAACTTCCTAATATTAATATTATAATTACTCTTTAAGTTATAATTTAATTTTACTATATTTACTAATTATATTTATATAGATTTGATTAATAAAATATAGAATTATCTTTTATTTTATACCTATTATTTTTTATTCAAATTTATAATATTCTCTAATAATTCATAATAAAAATATATTATTTAATTATTTATGAACTTAAACCTTCAATAAATCTAATAAATTATATATAATTTTAAAGATTAGTAAAAATAATTATAATTTATGATTTCAGATTATTAAATAAAGTCAATTAATATTTAAGTGTAAGTTTATTTTTTTTAAGAATATTAATTAGTAGAATATGTGGATTTTAATCACTCTATTATATCATAATCATTATAATTATAATGTTTTAATATAAAGATTAAAAATATAAAAATTTTGACTCAACCTTCTGTAATTTGATTACTGAATAAAAATGGAGAAGACTTCAATTTAAGCAATTTTCCCATTCTTTATTGCAATTAACATTCATTCATCTTCTAAATGAATTCAATATCATGTTATTAACCCTTTTTACTCTCAAGAGTCTCTTGGATTATCTCATTTTTTCCTTATTAACTTTTTTATCCATTTAGTATTATATTAGCAGCTCTAAGTTTTTAAATACAGGTTTAAAACTTAGTTTTTTTTAAGAAGTTTATTTGTTTTTTCAAATCAAAATGTTCTAAATAAGTTCTAAATATAAGTTACTTTTTCTTGGTTATAAATATTTATTAAGATGCTAAGGGGTCAAAAGTCCTTGCTGAACAGCCTTTTTTTCCATCTAATAACTCTAATAGATGCGATTAACAAACTTTCTTTATTCTCCTTTCTTCAAACAAGGTAATGAAGAATCAAAATTGGATGTATGTTCAGATGAAGTATACAAATTTCTACCAGCTTAATGAATGTCTTAGATTAAAGTACTCAATTTAATAGATTAATAAGTCTTAAATGGTTCAAAAGATTAGTAATTTTTATTTCTCATATATATTATAATAATATTTACTATCTTTAAGTTTGTAAAATTTATGGTAAGATTGTGCAGATTAAAGTAAGAATTCATTTATAACAACTGAATTCATTTAAATTTGAAAATGTGAAAATCTATACATTTAGTCATAATCAAACAAAATTTTGATAATTTTTAGAGAGAATATAGGTAAATAAAATTTAAGAGTAAATAGTTTTGATAATTTATAATTATTTCATTTCTAAAAATGATAATTTAAAAAGTAAATAAATAATATAAAATAGCATAGGAGGAATACTTGTATGAAATTGATAATATTATTCATATAAAAATAAAGAATATAAGATCTTGAATTTCCTTAAGACTTATATTTTGTTAAGAATATAAAAATAATTAATTAAATTATATATAATGTTAGATCAATATATTGAAGTTCAAATTAGTAAAATAATGCTTTAAGTATCTAAACTTTATATTCCAATAAATAATAATCCAAATGATAAAATATCTATCTTATATGAGAATATAGGAAAGCAGAATTTAAAAGAAGTTTGGAGATTATAATTTTTGAATTAAAATGTTGACTTATTAATGAGATAAACATATGATGAATTGTTCTATTTAAATTAAAATAGAATTCTAATTTTGAAAGGTCCAAATTTGATAACTTATAATCTTAGTGAAAAAATAGAAGTAGATTCATCAATATAAATTGAAAAAGGAGATTATAATCATTTCTCTATATACAATAATGGAAATTAACAATATCTATTTTTTTTAACTAAATAAAGTTTTAATACTGAATAGTAATAAAATGTAAGTCAATACACTTTGAAAATTTATGACACTTAGAAATTAGAAGTTTTATAAGAGGTCAAATTTTCAGCATCTGTAAGAGCTTTAGTAGTATCTCCAATAAGCAGAACGAGATGCTTTATGATGAATCCAAATTCTCCTACTAATAGAACTGTTTAATTTATAATATATGATGAAAATTAAGTTTAGAGAAAGATTATTTAAGTAAAAGAGACAAAGAATGAATTAAGAGGAACTGTAATTAAAGTTCTGAGTGTAAAATAATTATTTTAATATTTAGTATTAAGATGATCTGATTTTTGTATATAATTCAAATGGAGTTAATAAATAGTTTCTACTCTTTTATTGTATAGAAAATGGAAATGAGAATATTCATGAAATTGATTTATAATTTCCTTATTAAATTAGAGATGCTTCAATTAAAGAAAATATTATTTTGATTAGTTGCTTTAATAGTTAATTGAATAGTGAAAATGCTTTTTTCTATGATATTTTGTAAAAGAAAGTGAAAATGTTAACAAGTGGAGAGATGAATTATTTTTATAGTAAGAATATAATAGTTTAACATAATAATGAGAGTATAAATTTATAATTGATGGCCACTCCAAATATGATGATGATACATTATTTTGACAAAATAGATTATGATTAATATATTAAATAAGAATTAAGTGAGTTTTGATATTTAAATATATTTATTTTTAATGGCATCTTAAATTTAAGAGCCTCTATTAGATATATAATCTTAAACTGATTTTGGAATGACTGCAAAAGAGTTATCGTAAGATATTTAAATAAAATATTTAGATAGATGTTTGTTCCTGATAATATAAGAGATGGATCAAGTTTAGATATATTATCTAGATTTGGAAAGATTGAAGGATTAATAAAGAAATTGAAAACAGATGCTAAAGTAATTAAGTATAATAATATAATAGAAAGGATTAGATGGAACAAATATTAATGATTTGGAATTGAGAGTTAAAAAGTATTTGCATAATTAAATAAAATAGTTTTGGAGATAATAAACCAGAAATAAAAGAACCAAAAACTTTAATAGAATATGTATAAATAAAGAGAGATTAAATAGATTCTTGAAAATTTTGAAGATCCAATGTTAAGAATATTGTGTTTAGCTGCAGCAGTAAATTTAATAATAGGTGTATGGACTGAAGGTTGGAAAGAAGTAAATTTTTAATATAATAAAATAAGGGATGGATGGATGGTATGGCAATATTTATAGCTGTAATAATTATTGTATCTGTTACAGCAGGAAATAATTATGTGAAAGATTAATAATTTAGAAAATTAAATGCAATAGCAGAGAATAGAAATGTAAATATAAAGAGAGGTGGTAAAATAGTTAGCACAAATATTTACGATTTATTAGTAGGAGATATAATGATAGTGGATACTGGAGAGAAAATGCCAGTTGATGGATTAGTACTTGAATCAAGTGAATTAACAGCTGATGAATCTTCTGTTACTGGTGAAACTAAACCAATTAAAAAGATTGTTCCACTTTTATATGATAAAACAGATTAAAAAGATAGTGTTAATTCATTTTTGATTAGTGGTTCATCAATTATAGATGGAACAGGAGAAATATTAGTTTTAGCTGTTGGTGAGAATTCATAATGGGGTATTTCTAAAAAATTAATGACATAATAATCTAAAGATGATAAAACTCCATTATAAGAAAAACTAGGTATTTTAGCAGATTAAATTGGTGAATATGGATTAAAAGCAGCTATAATAACATTTATTGCTATGACACTTCATTTATTATATGATGCTGTTTTTAATGAATATCCTCTATTTTCTGCTCATGCTATTAAAGAAATATTAAATTTTTTTATTGTTTCTGTTACTATTATTGTTGTTGCTGTTCCAGAAGGATTACCATTAGCAGTGACTATTGCATTAGCTTATTCAGTTGGAAAGATGAAAGATGAAAAAAATCTTGTTAGATATTTATCTGCTTGTGAAACTATGGGTGGTGCTAATAATATTTGTAGTGATAAAACAGGTACTTTAACTGAAAATAAAATGACTGTTACTAATTTATATATTGAAGATACAAATTTCAATAAATTAGATTCTAAAGCAATTAAAAGTTCAACATTATCATTACTTTGTGAAGGAATTTGTTTAAATTCAATGGCACATCCATAAATTGATGAGAATGGTAAATTTGAACATATAGGAAACAAGACTGAATGTGCTTTATTAGAATTAGCTTATAAATTTGGATATGATTTTAGATAAATTAGATAAAATATGGGAGAAAAAATTAAAAAGAAATTCCCCTTTAATTCAGAGAAAAAGAAAATGACTATTGTACTTGATTTAAAGGGAGATAGAACATAATTCACTATATTCACAAAAGGTGCTCCTGATATGCTTTTAGATAAATGTTCTCATTATATTAATGCTGAAGGAAGACCTGTTGTGTAAAATATTTATATTTATTATTTATAGTATTACAAATGATTATAAATAAAAAATAAATGCAGTGATTAAAAATTATGCCTCTTAATCTTTAAGATCAATACTTTTATTATATAGAGAAACTATGTTATAAGGTAGACCAACAAAACCAGAAGATTTTAATAATATTGAAGACACAATAGATAAATAATATACAATAATTGGTGTTACTGGATTATAGGATCCTTTAAAATAAGGTATAGTGAAAGCAGTTTAATAATGTAAAGAAGCAGGTGTTGTTGTAAGAATGGTAACTGGTGATAATTTTGATACAGCAGTTGCAATTTCTAAATAAGCAGGAATATTACCATCAAATTATGAACATCATGAAGATTCATTGGCTGTATTGGAAGGAAAAACATTTAGATAAATGATAGAAGGATTAGTTTATGAAAAAGAAGGAGATTCATAAGTTCCTAAAGTTAAAAATCTTTAAAATTTTACAATAATTTCTAATGAATTAAGAGTTTTAGCTAGATCTTCACCTGAAGATAAATTCTTATTAGTAACTGGTTTGAAATAACTTGATAATGTTGTGGCTGTAACAGGAGATGGAACAAATGATGCCCCAGCATTAAAAAAAGCAGATGTTGGTTTTGCTATGGGTATATAAGGAACTGAAGTAGCAAAAGAAGCTGCTGGTATTATACTTTTAGATGATAATTTTGCATCTATTGTAACAGCTATGAAATGGGGTAGAAATATATTTGATTGCATAAGAAAGTTTCTAGTATTTTAAGTAACTGTAAATGTAGTTGCTGTTTCTATGGCATTTTTGGGAGGAGTCTTTTTAAAGGAATCACCTCTTACAAGTATTTAAATGTTATGGGTTAATCTTATAATGGATACTTTGGCATCTCTTGCATTAGCCACTGAACCACCTAATGATGAATTATTAACACGTAAACCATATGGTAGAAAAGAACATATGATTACATCTGGTATGTGGAGAAGCATTATATGTCAAGCAGCATTTTAATTATTTGTTCTTTTAATCATATTATTCAAAGGTGATTCAATCTTTGGTATTCAATCTAGTAGAGGACATAGACTTGATGAAGAATATAAGTATATTTTTAATATTTATTAATAGTCCTGTATTCTAAGAACATTATACAATTTTCTTTCATATTTTTGTATTTTTATAAGTTTTTAATGAAATAAATGCAAGAAAATTAAAAAAAACAGAATTAAATGTATTTGAAGGATTCTTCAATAATTGGCTCTTTTTATCTGTTATAATTGGAACTATTGTAGTTTAAATTATTATTGTGTAAATCAATATAATGAATATTATAGTGAATGTGGAGGAAAAGCTGTTAAAGTGACTCCTTTAGATTTTGCTCATCATTTTATATGTATTCTAATTGGAATGTGTAGTTTGGGAATTGGCTATTTAATTAAATAAATACCTGATTAATACTTTTAATCTATTGAATTATTTCGTGAATAGGTTATTACAGATGCAGATCCAAACACTATTTAAGTATAATATTATATAATATTAAGGGTAAATTGAAAAAACCTTCTACATTCTTGAGGAAAAAGAGAGAGTTGGAAAACAAATAACCTATTAAAACTAATTAAGAGATTGAAATGAAAACTGGTTAAAGTAACTTTAAAACAAAATGAATAGTATTATATATTTAAGTTAATATTTAATAATAATAATAATAATCAAGGATCCAAAAATGATTTTTACTGAACATATTTTATAAATGATTAAGTTAATAAGGATTGATCAGTATAAATATAAAAGGAGAGTTTATTTTAATATACATTATGAGTTTAGATTAAATCAACCATAGAAGGGAATAAATTAAATGCTTATTTTGTTGAAGTATCTTCATTATAAACATTTTAATATTATTACACAGAATTATATGGTCCTATCTTTTTAAGTAAAAAATTAGTGATAGGATATATTAATATAAATTCTTAATTATTATTAATTTGATATTCCTCTAAAGTCTAAGGATTTAAGACTAATTATGAATTTGTTTTTAATTCTATGTATTTTTCAGTAAAAAAAGAAAACTCAAATTTAATTAATTTCTATTTATCTATTTTTGTAGGACTCTCTTCAGATTCCATCATTACTTTTTTTATAAAATCAAATTCTTAAATACTATTTTTTTCTTGGGAATTATTTTCATTTCTCAAAGGATTTAAATTTAATTCAGTTGTAATAGTTAATGTTATATTTGTATTTATATCTGCTTAAGCTAAACATTATTCAAAAATATTAACTATTATTTAAGACAGAAATTTAGAATTAATTTTAATATTACAGTCTTCTAAATTAAATTAAGTTACAAATCTTTTATTTAAGGAATTTGACATATATGAAAAATAAGGTTCTAAATTATTAATAAAATGCTTTAAATTAACAATTTTGTAATTGGTTATTTCATAATTTATTTTGCAAGCATTTACAAAATATTAAAAGTTTTAAAATTAGTTGATTATTGATAAATTTAAACATTTAATAGATTACAATTTTTCATTATCAATAGAAGAACAATTAAGTGTTATTATAGCATTAGAAAGATGAGAAAGTGATGTAATTAATTAATTTGCAATAAAATTGATAATTTTATTAAGAAATTTGATTTATTCTTCACTTTTTGACATCATTTATTATGGTTTATCTTCTTTTATAACAAATAATAAATAGTTTTTTCCATAATTCATTTATCTGACATCTATACTCAGTATATTATTTTTTTATTTCTCATTATCAAAATAAAACCCCTCTAATTATTCAATAATCTTTAAATCACTTTTCTTTATTGATAAATTTTATTTAATTTTATAAAATGAATACTCTTCTAATGTTTAACGTTTCATTTGTACTTTTTTTATAGTCATATCTCCTGACTTATATATTGGAATCTATGATAAATCAACTTATGTAGGAACTTAAACCTTATTTACTACATATGTATTTCTCAAAATCTCAATCATTGATTTTGTATCTTCAATATTTAATTAATTTTTGACTTATTGATTTATAAATTCCAGTTAAAATTAATTGTTATGCTAGTTTAAACTAATTGCAAAGAAACTATTAGGTACATATTCTTCAAGTATTTCTCTATAATAAAACTACAATGGATTACTTTAATTTAGTATTATAATGCATATAAGAAAATGCCAAGCGAAACATAAATTCATTATAATGGGAATATATGATTACCAAAAATTAGGAAGTAAACACTAGTATAATATATGAAAAATCTTAGGCAGTAAGAGAATCCAATTGATATAGTTAAATTATGGGAACAAATAAAAATGTTAATACTCTTAAGCAAAAATTACTAAAGAGAAACTATATAACAGAGATTGATCCACTATAAAAACCAAATAGATAAAGAGCTCTATAAAAATGAATACTAAATTTACTTTTATTTTGTCTATGTAGCTACATATAAACTTATTGTAATAGAGATTAGGTACATAAAAAAGTAATAATATCTTATCTTTTTATCAAATTTTTTGGTAATTATAAGGATTCCTAAAATGAAAACACCTGAAATTGCTAAAGAAATAATCAAAAACATATGCTATCCATCAATCAAATAAATAGTAAAAAAATAAAAGCATAAAAGCATAACAACTATTTCAATGATGCGAAAGTAATGAAGTCTATATTTACTCATCTCTATCTCATATAAATCTTCATATTCTTGATTAGCAAAAGTCAAGGTCCATCGATTAAATTGTAATTTATTCATAATTATATCAGCTTTTTAAAGAATTTAACATTTAATACCTAAAACTTTCTTTCACTTTGGTACTCTAAACAGAAATTTCAAGAGAATTCTTATCATTTCAAATCCTTTAACTTTCCCTTAAAATAATAGTTAATTTAAAAAACAATATAATGATTTCAAATATTAAAAAATAGTGATTGACATGATATATTTATCATTGTTACTATAATTCATTTATTGTATATACTATTGAAATGATTCTCAAATGTTTAGGATAATATACATTATTTATAAATAAATAAACTGATTAAAATTTATTTTTAAATTATCGAGATAAATAAGCTTTACTATTAATGATTGTTTTTACTAATATGATGAGTATCATAATTAATTAAATGAGAAATTAAAATTAAAATAATTTAAATTTAGTTCTTTAAAATATATACATGTGACCTACATATATTAAGGATAAAGTAAAATTTGAAATATTTACAAGCTTAGAAATTCATGTTAGTTATAAAAATATAAAATGAAATTACGATAAAATGAGATTTTTATTGTTTTATTGAAAATCAATATAAAAAGAAGAAATTTTAATTACATTTATAGATTGTTATATAAATAAATATATATTTTATAAATTTAATGAGTGATATATTGATTGATGATCGTATTAGAGACTGGGTATTCTTACCAATAATAATTGTGATGTTTATGATTCAAATGTTTAGAGGATTATTAACAAAATATATGGACAATAGAAAAACATCACAAAAAGTAACATCAAAAGCTTAACTTGCTGAAATGATTGATAAGTACATTGAGTAGACAACATAATTAGAAATATAACATAATAATCTTAAAGATTAGCTAGATTACATGGATTATTACCAGATTAATCTTTTAAGATGAAGAGAGCTCATTTATGTGATCATGAATCTGGCATATTAACAAAAGCAAGTTAAAAGCCAGCAAAAGATCCAATGTAATCAATGTCTATGATGAATCCAGCAGCCATGGCTGATATGTTAAAATAAAATTTAAGTGGAATTATATTTATGGCACTTCAATATTAATGGGTTTCTTATTTTTTTTCTGGTTTTGTAATTGGAAAAGTTCCATTTCCTTTAACTCAGAAATTCAGAACAATGTTATAAAGAGGAGTAGATGTTTAAAATTTAGATGTTAGATATATTAGTAGTATCAGTATTTACTTTGTTTTGTTGTTTGGAGGTTTATAAAAGATTTAATAATTGATGTTTGGAGATGATAATGATGAATTTGTTGATGGTAATAAATATTTAGAGTATAATTATTAGACACTTAAATGTAAATGTAAATGCAAATGATGGGAATGCCAACAATGCCATCACTTGGATAATAGAATGACCCAGGAAAATTATTTATAGCTGAAAGAAGTATTAAAAATAAAATAATTTAGCTCGTTTGGAGGGTGTAAAACATACATTTGAATTAAATAAATCATAAGATAAGGCAATGAAATCTTTAAAGAGATTTTTAATGTAATGAGTACAATAAATGTTATATTTTATTTTGATTAAACAATTTCAATATTTGTACATCTTAAAATAGATTGTTGAATGTATATTAATATGAAAGGATGATTGTTTATGTAGTTTATTAATTTTAATTATGAAAGAAAGGTAATAGTTGACAATAAAAATGATTAGAAATATTATTTATTATTAATATTAATTATGGGATATAGATTATCTAATCCTAAACGATTTGGATTGGCCAGAACATCAAAATAAAGATGGCATTTATGGAGAACTCAAATGACTTAATTAGTGACTCATGAACGTATTCACACTACTTGGGCCAAAGCTAGAGCTCTCCAATTTGTTGCTCATAAAACATTCAAACTAGGATAAGATGCTAGCAAAAATAGAAGTAATGCTATCAATAGATTAATGGGTATATTTATTATTTTATTCATATAAGGTATTCTAACTACTAAGTTTGCTATAAAGAAACTTATTAATGAAATAGTACCTAAATTTAAAGATCCAAAAGAATAAGTATTCAAAGTTGTAGAAACTAAAAGAAGAAAAAGTGATTTTGCTAGAATGGGATATATCGAGTTTGCAAAGAATGAAATTGCCAAATATGAAGAATCTTAATACAAGTAATTATAGGAGACAGGTAAGATTGTGGATATAAGTAAATACAATAAAACTTGGTTGATAGAAGAAAGAGACTTCATAAAAGAAAAATTAGACTAAGCCCAATCTAGATTTGATGCTCTATAAGCTGATCCTAACACTCCCAGTGTTGAAATAAAAAGAGCAAATTAGGATGTTAATTTTTTCAAACGTAAACTAGAAACTGTTGAAAAGGATCTTTGGATTGAAAATAAGAATCCATTAGATATGAGAAGATATTTCAGAATTTATTGATATATCGAGATGCATTATTCCTATCAACCAATCTAGCAAAATTCCCATTTCTTTTTTTTTAAATTATGTCTTTTCAATTATAATTTACTTCAAATGTAAATATGTTTATGTTACTCTCCTATCTATCATCTCTATGATATTTGATCTTTTATTTATAAAACAATGTTTTGAATATTTAATAAAGCAAATTGTCTCTGATTTTGCTTGATTACAATTAAAATCATTCATTATTATTTAAGTACTCCATGATTTCCTTTTCAATTTTTTATCAAGTGGAATATACTTTTAGTTTGTTATCAAGAATTACAAAATTAATTATCTTTTTTGTAAATGAAAATGTCTTTATTCTTCAAATATCATAACTCTTTAATTCAATTAATTGAGACTGAAGAGTTCTAGATAGAGTGGATTCATCTTAAGTTTTTTTTTCAACTTTGTTTCTGAATCTGGATACAACAGATGCTCTTTCTTATTAGTTTTATTAATATTTTAATGAAAGGCTTGTAAAGTTATAAGTTGTTCTTTATTTTATATTGATTCTACAGGTTAATATACTTTGAATAATCTACAATAAAGATCTAAAGGAAATTATTTATAGAATTTTTGATTTTTAAATGATTAATATTGTTTTATAAATACTGTATGATTATCTTTGGGCAAAATGATTTTTAAAATGAATTGCCAATATAATCATAAATCTTAGTTATACAGATTGATAATTATTAATGCATTTACATTTTAAAAATATTTATTCATTTCATAGTGATATCAAAGAAGTTAATTTTATTCTAATCCACAATTACCATTATTACTTTATCTTAGTTTTTAATCAATTATACTCTTGGTTTTAATCTGAAATTATATTTATAAATCATACTTAGATGAAAGATAAGTTATACCATCAAATGTTAAATCTTTTTATTATATGTCATATAAACCATTATCCTTTTTTTATATCCTATATTACATACATTAACCAATTTCAACTGGAATACAAATAGCATACATTATTTAACTAAGTGTAAATTCCATCAATACAACATCTACATCATTACCTTATAAAATATCATCTCTATTTGTATTACATATCTTCACACCATTACTAGATGCAATTAACATTTCATTTATTGATAATGGTATTATTGTTTAACTACAAGGCAATGTATTTGCATTCACTTTTCTTAATTATTTCTCTTTCTCATTTACTTATATAATAGTTGCTCCTTATTCTCCAGCCACATATACACAAAACAATTCTCCAGGTTTAATCAAAGCCATTTTATATTTTCTTAATCTACCTTACAATCTTGAATTACCAACTGTTAAAAATAATTCTAATTTTGTTGTAATATTCTTATATCCCAATCTTCCATCAGAATCTACAAATGCAAATGAATTATTTTATAAATCTAAACCTGCTAATATAGGTTTATTTGAAAATGTATATTAATCCTATATTTTTGCAGTTTATCCTTAGAAAATCCAATAATATACTTAACCATCATCAGCTCCTGTTATGAAAGTATTTGCTGATAAAGGTTCTATCCAATTTACTTATTAAGTATGTCCATCAAATGCCAATAATGATTTCTTTTCAGTATCAAATACTCTCATTTTCAAATCATTTTAACCAATCATAACAAATGTTGTTTTAGATAATCCAATCACAGCACCAATTGTAAAATCTAAAGTAAATTTTCTATTTAATTTTATATGAGGCCATTCTTTTTTTGAAAGATCTAAAGCTCTACTGAATTTACAATATATCCCAGATTTACTTATTACAATAGAATCTGAAAGTTAATAATTTTCACGTAATATTGGTCTTTACTATGGAGAATTCAATACTTAATTTTATTAAAAATTATTTGAATTATTTGAATATTATTATACTAATTAAGGAGGTTAAGGTAAACGATCTTAATTAGAACACCAACCTAAAAAATAATTTTATAAAGGTTCTTATAATGTTGAGTATAATCTTTATTAATCTGATTCAAAAATCTTAGGTGATTCATTTGCTAATAATAATCTTGTAAACAAATCCTATAGACTATCTAAACTAGTATTATCTATTAATTTTAATTTTCTTAAATATTCTTCTGAATTATCCCCTTATTATCCTAATTTACAAGTCAGAGCCATAGGTGTAGATAAAAAATAATTTGCTGCTGCAAAGAATTTAGAATTAAATTGTTTTCTGGTTTATTCAAATAATGATTCATATTCTGAATAAACTAAGTCCAATTTTCGAAATACATTTTCTTTAATTTATTATAAATACAATTAGAATTACTCTACAATAAATGTCATATCCTAAGCAACAAGTGTCTTTTAAGTATCAATATTATCTTTCACTTTTTTAAGATGATGTTTATTATCTTGAATATATTTATATACTTTAAGATTTTCATCATTATTTAGAAACTATTCTAATGATGTTTTATTCTATTATGTAGCCTAATAAATAGACTAACTAAATTCAGCAATAAATTATTTTATCCCAATTACATTATTATTGTGTTCCATATGAGCATCCTCATTAAGGCATTATTAACAAAGAAGTATTTTCTTTCGTTTACAATTCTTCTCTACACATCCTTTAACAATTAATCCTTATTTATGGTCTTTACAACGCAATGTAACCTAAAATGCTGAAGGTTGAAGTAAATCTTCTTACATTGTAAAAAATAAATAATTTATATAAAAAAACTAATACAATTTATAATTGATATATCATCAAACAAAAGTTATTCAAAGATAATACTAACCATCATATTCTAATGATCTTACTATATAGAACTTATTAAGTTTAAGTAAGAGTTAATATTATAAATACTTTAATGCAATTTATTAAATAACATGATTATTAAATAAGAGAATTTTTTTTATAGAATGTGAAATATTAGTGAAAATATTTATTTGTTTTATGTTATGAATTGATATCCTTTTAATCTATATTAATCTAAGGAATTGATATAATTAAGCTAATTCCAATAGCATTAATAATTTTAATCTAAATTGCCTAAAGAGAATTGAAATCTGATTAACATTAGAACTATTACAATGTATATATATATTAATTTATTAACGGTTATATCTCAAAAAGACTTAAATATGAATTACTATATGGAAAGCCAATTGTAAAAAATGAGTTAATTACTTGAATAAAAGTAATCAGAGATCAATAAATTGAAAGCATAAGTAGAAAAATATTCAAATTATGAATCGTAAAAATACCTCTTATTTCAGATAACTAGAACAATTAAACTAGTGTATTATGTAGTTAAATTACTAATTTTAATAACAAGAATAGACTCATAAAGAGTAAATTTATTTAATGCAAAGAGAGTTATCATTTACACAAGATGAAATAAAAAATTTACAAGTATTCATTTTAATGTTTTTATTAGAGAACAAGGGGTTAAAATGAATAATAATAAATATCTTCACTTCTTAAGGAGTTGTCTGAATATAAATAAGAGAACAATCAATTAAAAGTAGAATTATCAAAGTATTAATAAAAACCTAGGACTAATTCTATTCAAGATAACAATAATAATGAAATAAGAGTAAAGATATAGAATTAAATAATTATATAGAGATTATCTCCTTACATGAGAGTTAATAATTGTAGCTTTACAAGTCCTTCTTACAATCTTGTTAAAGAAAGAAGAGTTCCATCACTTCCTGATGTTAACTCAAATCGATTATCTATTAATAAGACTACTATATACAATATATAATAGAATTAATCTTTTTCCAAGAAACCTCCTCTTTAATAGATGCATAATATCAGTCCTAGTAAGTAAATACTCTTTGTTCGTCAATGATTATTTATATATATGAATATTAGCTTTAAAATATAAATTATAATTATAAGTAGTTTTAGTTTTAAAATGAAATCAAAATTCTGATAGTTATAGAAACTAAGTTGTTTATAAAATAAAATGCAATGTTTTGATATCTCTTTAAAATTTATACATAAGTAGAGCATATTATAAATAATTTAGTAATTTAATTTCATTTATTACAGAGTTCTGTAAATGATAAATATATTTTTATATGTTGAAGTAATTGATTATAATATGATACTTAGTTTGTAATATCAAATTTAATGGTAAAATTAGTTAATTATTCTAGAATTATGAATAATGAAAATAATGAACTAGAATATCATTATTTAATCTTTAATAACATATTTTATTTATTACAAAAAGAAAGTAGAGATGTAATTATATATACTTATTTATGATTATTTAATTATATATATGAGAAAAAATAAACCAACTTAAAAAATAATTGTAAATCGTGGTATTTCTCAATTAAGAAATAATTAAGACTAAGAGGATACTGAATAATTACCAATAATAAAACCAAAATCAGTAGCAAGGAATTCTAAAAAAAATTTTGAGATAAAGAAAGTTAGAATAAAAGTAGCTATTTCAGATGATAAATTGGAAATAAACAATAAATAAAATAAATTAAACCCAATAAAATAAGAGGAATCTCCTCCATTAAGTGATAGAAATCAATCTCCATAATCTAATACTAAGAAAGTAAAAGAGGATAATAATAGATCGGTATTAAGTAATTATAAAGTAATTTATATTTTAGAGAAATCAATACATCAATAATATGAAATTGATGATACTTTAGAAGATAATTTAGAGAGTTATGTAAAAATATATCACTCAATTGTTAGTTTGATGGATGCTATGAGAAAAGTAATTAAAATTTATTATAATTTATTAGAATGTAAGTGATTAAGTGGATTAGATAAATAGATTTTTAGAATTCATTGATGGAGTCCATTTTTGTCAAATCGAAAAACTTTTTGTGGAGAATACTAAACAATTTAGACAGATTTTAATATTGATTAAGATGGGGGTATTATTATATTATTATAATTTTTAGATTGTTGTGATCATAAATAGTTTTTTTGATCAACATTTATATACAAGTAATGTTGTAAATTTTAAGAATATGTTGATTTATAATTTATAAAATTATCTATTATTGGGAGAAATGATATTATAGAAGACACAATAATAAGAACTTTAAAATATCATTAATTAGAATAAAAAGTATTTTGGGAGTAAAAAAGTAGATTCAAATACATAAATTAGATAAAATGTAGAATTATTATCAAGTTTATACAAATCATTAACAAAATAATCAAAAGATCTTTATCAATTCTTATGTACTTACTTAAAATAAATACCATATCTTAGAATGTTAGAATCTAACTTAGTATTGTAGAATTTCATTTCTTTATATTTTACTATTCAACAAAGTTATCATGGTTTATTAGGAATTCCTTTGATATGTGTAGCAAATAAACCATATTTACCTAAAGAAGAAAGTCATGAATTCACTCTAATATTAGATATGGATGAAACCTTAATTCATTTTTTTGATTAAACCAAAAGTTTCTTAATAAGACCTTATACTGAATAATTTTTATAAGAAATGAGTAATTACTTTGAAATTGCAGTCTTTACAGCAGGATTACCTGATTATGCTAATTGGATCCTAGATTAAGTGGATAAAAATAAACATATTTAATATCGTCTTTATAGATAACATGCTATGTAATATCAAAATCATTTTGTTAAAGACTTATCTAGATTAGGTCGAAGTCTTAAAAAAGTTATAATAGTAGATAATATTGCTGATAATTTTCAACATTAACCAGAAAATGGAATATTTATTAAAACATGGTATAATGATTAAGAAGATAAAGAATTATTGGAATTAAGTGTTTTCTTAAAGAAACTAGTAGAAAATGGATGTGAAGATGTGAGAGAGGTTCTTAAACAATATAAAAGTTAATAACTACCTAAAATTTGATACTTGTCTTATATAATTAATAAAAATATCTTTATATTATTAATAATAATTATTTATTTAAGAATGGCTTCCTTTAGACCATAGTCATCGTAAGTTATTTCAGTCAGATCACCAAGCAGAAGTATACTATTTTAATTATATATTAGTTATTCCAATGGCATCTAACATGGGTAATTCTTACGTAATTCCAGCAGCCCAAAATTTACCAACAACTATAATAGTCAAAGAGAAAAATCCAGTTTCATATGATAAAGAAAAAGAAAATGATGATTAATAAAAAGATGAATTAGAGTTATGGAAAAAAAAATATTTTACATTAGAAGCTTAATTAGCTAAATATGATATAGAAAATGAAATAGTAATAATTATCTGAATATTAAAGAAAGATGAATTACAATCAAGGATTCTAGGTTCTTAGGAAGATGTGAAAAAGTTTCAAATTGATATGTCTAAAATACAGGCAGATATGGATAAGCAAAGATCAGATATGAATGATTTAGTAATTGAAAATCAAAAATTACTGAATTAATAAGTAGAAGTAGAAAGATTAAAAAAATTAGTTTCTGAAAGAGAAGATACTATAGGCTAAGTATCAATTATTTCTAATAATTAGTTATCATAAAAATGTAGAGAGTATTAAGAATAATTATAAGAATTGGAAGCATTTCAATAAGCATTGTAAGATATGCATAATCAAAATGAAGGTAAAGAAAAGATGATTGAATAATGGAAATTAAAATATATGGAAAATGATTAAAAGAAATAAAAAGAAATTGATGAATTAAAGTTAAAATTAGCTGAATATAATCCAACAGAGATATAAAGTTTAAAAACACAATTTGATAGAGAAAGACAAGAATGGTAGAATAATTAAAAGAAACTTTAATAAGATTTAGCTGATGCTCTTAAATAATTAGATTAATGGAAAATTAAATATAATGTAAGTATTTATTTAAAAAATAGAATCTTGATTTGTAACATTAATAACTCTCATCTGCATAAAAAGAATCTGTTGCAAGAATAGATGCATTAAATCAAGAATAAAATAAACTGACTGTTTAAGTTCATACTTTAAATGATGATAAATAAAAATTATAAATAGAGTTGGAAGCTACAAAAGGACAATTAAAATTACATTAAGGATTGATTGGAGAATTAGATAGATTGAAGAAGTTATTAACTGATAAAAGTGCAGAACTTTAATAACTATAATAATAATCATAATAAAAGGATATTGATCTTAATAATGCAGATTTAACAATTTCAGAATTAAATTAAAAAATTAAATCATTATCTTTATTATAATAAGAAAATTAAAGATTATCATAGGAATTAGATTAATAACATAGATTAAATGAATAATTACATTAAGAAAATGCAGATTTATTGAAAAACTTAGATAAATTTAAATTATTGGAAGAAGAGAAGATGTAATTAGAAAATAAAGTAAGTATGTTAGCAGCAGAAATTGAAAGACTAAAAGTTTAATTAAAATAAAAAAATGATAAGATTTTATAAGAATAAGAAGAATTGAAAAGATTATAAGAATAATTGAATGAAATTGATGAATTATAAAAGCAAATTGAAGATTTAATACGTTAATTAGAATAAGCAAATAATACAATTGATGAATTAGAAAAGAAATTATAAGCTATTTCAGAACTTGAATAAAAACTTCATGATGCTAATAATAAAATATATGATTTAGAGAATAAGGTAGCTATGTTAAGTGCCGAATCATAAAGATTAAGATATTTAAATGATTAAAAGACTGAATAATTAAAATCAGCTGAACAATAATTATCAGATCTCAATTTACTTAAAGAATAATTAAATTAATTATAGAATAAATATGATGCATAATAATAAATGAATTAGAACTATTAAGCTGAATTAGAAAAATTAAGAGGATAATCAACATAAGCAGATACCAATATTGCAGAATTAAGAAGATAATTAGATGAATAAAAAGCTTAAAATATAGTTCATAAATAAGCTAATTCTGAGTAAGTTATTGCAGATTTATAATAATAATTAAGTTCATTATAATAAAGTTACAAAAAAGTATCAGAATCTAATTTGGCAAATGAAGAAGATCCAACTTTGGATTTATAAAATAAATTAACCTTATTAAAACAAGAAAATTAAAGATTGAATTAAACTATTATATAGAAGAATTAAGAAGTTTTAAATCATTAATAATAAAATTAATAATTATAATAAGATCTTTTAACATAAGATACATTGAAAGTGTAAATTCAACAATTACATGAATAAAATTCACTATTGCAAGAATAAATATAAAATGAAAAATAAGGTAGATAAGGTTTGGAATAAAGAATTTAATAATCTGAATAAGAAAAATATGATCTTTAAAGTAAATGTGCTATGCTTTCAACACACATTGAAGGTATGAAATATAAACTTGAAAAAATGGAAAATGTTGATGAATTAAAAAAGATTATCTAAGATTAATAAGCATAATTAGCTGAGATGGATGTCTTAAAATTAGAAATAGAAAGCTTAAATGAAAGAATAGCTGAATTAGAAAAAGAATTAAAATTATGGAAATAGAAATATGAATCATTAGATTAATAATATTAATAATTACTTCATATAAAAGAATAAATGGAAAATAAATTAGCTATGCTTTCATCAGAAATTGAAAGATTAAAAGTACTAAATTAAAAAAAGTAAGGAGAAATTGATTAATAAAATTAAGAATTAATGAAAATGGATTAAGAATTAAATGATTTACATAATTAATTAGAAGATATTAATGAATTAAAAACATAATTGAATTCCCTTGAAAACCAACTTTAATAATAAATTGATGAAAATTAAAATAAATCTAATGAAATTACTCAACTAAAATAATAAGTTGCTGAAATAGAAGGTTTACTTGTCAATTAAGAAGATCTTTAGAATTAAATTAAAAAATTAGAAAAGGAATCACAATCAAAAGATGAAATAATAGAATAGTTCAAATAAAAAATTACTTAATTAGAAAGTAAGATTGCAGAACTTGAAGATATCAAAGTATATCTATAAATTAATTATATAGTATAAATATGAAGATAAAATGGCTTTATTAAGTAGTGAAGTTAAAAGATATGAGTTTAAGGCTAAAAAATTAGAAGATAAATCTAACGAACTCTAAACCTAAGTTGATCAATTAACTCATGATTTGAATGAGGCAGATTAAAAGATTGTTGATTTAGAAAAAGTAAAATTATTAAGTTGAATATTTTTTTAGGATTTAGGGTAATGGAAGTTTGAATATTCAAAATTGAACAGTCTTCAATATAAAATAGATGAATACAGTTTCTTATTAGTCGTTTCATTTGCAGAAATTGAAGCTTTAAGATCATAAAACTTTTCATTAAATGAATAATTAGATAATCATTAAAAAACAAAGGTAGCCTTAGCCTTGGCATAATGAGAATTATAATAATAGATAATTTATAATTTTTTATTAGATATTCATAAAAGAAATTTCTATTGTTGATTAACTATTTTGAAAATCACATAATCAATGTAGATAAAGTTAATATTATTTTTATATTATTAAATTTGATAAAAACACTTAAAATTTTATTCATTCTGGTTACTAAAATTTATCATAAAACATCTAACAAAAAAATTCAAACATTTGTTGTTTAGAGGGTTAATTTGATGAATAATTTGGACCATTAGGAAATGGATTCTAATTAGCAAATTAAGGATCATTCATTTAATTGTGATAAGGGTAAGGCTAAACATTCATATTAGGTTGTGGTCCTGGCATATAATTAAAGTTTTAATTATTAACATGTTATTCATTATTATTATTTGGATTATACTTTCTTTGTTTTTATAAATGAGGTTCTAATTGATTCTGATATTACTGTTTTTGTCTATAGAAATCTTATTAGTGAGGTTAATTGTTTCTATATTTTTTATCTCTTTGTTTCTATTAGTTAAAAAATTATTATTATTGTTATTATTATTATTACTATGGTTAAAACTATACTTGCTAATAATTTTATGGGTATTATTATTATTATTATTATTATTTTTGATAATTCCCTTAATTTGTAATTGAAGGTGGTATTTAGGCAAGATCATATTAAGTTGGATTTACAATTTGTTTTTAAACGCTTTTCTACATTGCCTAATCTTTCTTAGTTAAGAATTCTTAGATCCCATATTATTCTAAAGGAAATGCATAACTATTTTGTCTTTAGTATTAATTTTACTAGCCAGGAATTTATTCTATTTAATTTTGGTTTATTTAATATTATTGTTATCTATCGAATTGATTATATTGTTACTAATTTGTTTGATGATTTTTTTAGTACTCTACATTATTATATTAACTTGTTTAATCAGAAATATAAGAGATTGGAATTTCGTGGTTTTAATTAAATTATTAAGGTCTATTTCCATTTGATTAACTTTCCTAAATTTTTTATGGCACTTACTAATTGTATTATTAATATTTTTAACTAGTATTCAGAATTTATGGATCTATAATTTAACCATCTTGAGACTTTAATCTTTAATTTTACTCTGCAGTTTGGTTAACATTTTTGTAGTTTTATTGAGATAATTATTGTGGTTATTAGTAACTTTTATGTTGATTTTGATTTTATTATTATTATTATTATTTTATTTCTCCAGGTTCAATCTCATTTTATTTAGATTATTATTAAAGATAATTATATTCTTTCTAATATTCTATTTCATCACATCTCATTTTATTTAATCTTTATTCTGCCTTTTTGATATTTTCTTAATGAATTTTTTCTTTCTCTTTTTTTTTCTATTCTTCTTTTTACTTCTCTTTTGCTTCTTTTTCTGCTTACATAATTTTAATAATATCTTAGGCATTTTTTTTTTCACTACTTTTTCTTTTTTTAGTTTCTTTACTCTTTTCTTTTTCTTAAAATTTTTCATTATTTTATGATGAACTTTTGGCTCTACTCTTATCTTTTTCATCATTTTTAGAATCATGTTTTTTACTCTTAGTTTTTTAATTTTCACTTTTATCTTTTGAGTTTTATCTTTTATTATTCTTATTTTTTTATTTTTCTTTTATTTCTATATCTGATTCTTAATTTTTTTTCTCTCTAGTTTTTTACTCCTCATCTCTATGTTTTTTAACATCATTTTTCTCTAAGATTTTGTCTGGTATTTTTATAATATCTTAATTTTTTTATTGATTTAATTACTCTTTACCTACAAATTAGTTTTTATTATTTTAAACTTCATCAAATTAAATACTACTTTAATTACTAATCAAAATTGATTATGAACTTACCATTGAATCTGGACTTGATAGATCGTTATCATTTTGAAATAATTTATCAATATCATCGCTATGTTAATTAAACTCTGATTATATATTAGGATAAATTATATTACTCTTTATTATAGGTTAATTTATTATTTCTACACAATCTTCTGTGATTTATATCGTTTATTATTATTGAGGAATCAACTATTAGGTATTTTTACTTTAAATGATTTCATCATTTGAAGAATCAATAAATATTACATTCTTTTATTTTTCTATATTACTTTAGAATGAGGTTTCTTATTGTAAATATTATTTATTAGGATTTTCAGATTATTACTATCTAGAACTAGTAATTTCTGTATTTAATCTATTTGCACATGTTTTAATTACTTTAGATTATTAATTCTTTTAGTTATCCATTGGAGAGTTCTTATAATATATTTCATCATCTATATCAATAATTTAATAAGGAGTTACTTCCTAGATCTCATTTTAAAGTAATAGTTCTTATTCAACTAAAATTTATTAATTTTGATTAATAAATGTATCTTCTTCTAATCTAGATATAAAATTTTCGTTTTCTTTATTTATGTTATCATATTGAAATTTTGAATTATGTTATTAGAATTCAGATGAATATTTAAATTCATTTTATAAATTTTATTTTATGCTTTCTTCTTATTCATAATTACTAGACTATTTTATAATTACTTCATTCTATTATTATAATTTATTAATTCCATTATTATTTTACTCTATTTATTCTAAATTTATATTTTCATCATTTTTTTATTTCTTATCTAATGTTTCTGAAGATTAAGCAATATGGATTATTTCTTTTGTCATCTCTTCTGGATCTGAATAATCTAATAAGGTATTTTTTGTTTCTTAAATTGGTGTTCTATGTCTTCTATTAGGATTTCTATCCATTTCTGTTACATTTTTCCCTGTTTTGATTGCCCATCTTTTCATTAATATAGGTAATTTATCAAACATTATCATCTCAAGTTCTTTTTCCATCATTGCCTTATTACATTTATCCTAAAATTTAGACCACCAATAAGTCTATTCGCATTTATCTTTTAGTAAATCAAATAATTTAATTAATTCTGTATCTTCAGAGAATTCAAATTCTTATTATTCCTTATCAGTTAGTGTATCAATATATGAATTTATTTTTTCTGGTTCTTAATTAAATTTTTTTGCTATTTTTTATTCTATATTGACTCTTTTCTCCACTTTTTCAGTTATTTTTTCTAAAGGTTTTGGATTTGGTTTAAATTTAGAAGGAGATTATAAAGGAGAATAGGTTGACTTTTTCTAAGCTTTTTCTGATAATATTTTTGCCATTTCAAGCACTATATAAAATAAAATGAAAAAATACTTTTTTAATCTGGTTTATCATCTTTAAAAACTGATTCTAATGAAACTTTTTGTTGTTCTGAGAAATAATTTCCTTTCTGATTTTCTAGATTATTTTATTCCTTTTAATTTTTTATACCTAACTATTGCTGTTAATTTATTTTCTATTTATTATTATTTTATTCATTTTATTGTTACTAAGGTTTATCTTCTATTTCAATTGTTGTTTTGGATATCTTATCTTTATTTAATTATTGTTATTATATAACATCTAAATTTTGTTTTTAGGTTGACTCTTTATTTGTTATTTAATTTAAATTTTTAGTATCTTAAACATTTTTAATATCATTCTTACTTTTTTATACACTTGATATTGAATCTTTTTCAAGATTATTCTCTTCAACACTTTTTTTTCTTTGATTGATAGACTCTTCTATTTAACCCTTAATACCTTGATTTTGATTTATTTAATTTTATTATTATTAATTCTATTGAGATTTTTCATTTATTTTATTTTATGATGTTTAATCTTAATTTTATACAACTTCTACTTATTAATTAAACTCTGGAGTTCCTTGTTCATTTTATTGTTTTTGTAAATATTATTCATACGAATTGATTATTTTTTAAAAAAAGCTTTCAAGAAACTTGTATTCTCCTTAAATATATTGATTCATTATCATTTAAACTGATTCTACTTTCATCTACTCAATATACCATTATGCAGCAGGATTATTAGCAAAATCATTATAAAGTTTAGTGTATTTAAAATCCTTGGATGCTAAAATCTATAGTAATCTAAAAATATCTTTTTTATTATGAATAACAAGCAATAGAGCTAGAGTTCTTAATAATTTTGGTAATTTATCTTTTAAATCAATTCTATTTTATTATTAATCTTATTTGATGTAATCCAAAATTATAGCTACATCATATTATTGTGGTTTAATAAGACTATAGGTTCTACAATCATATATGCTAGTGTTATCAATCCAAAAAATCATTATTATTTTTATAAAATTTCTATTTCATAATCTTAAAACATTAAAAAATCATTGAATTTATTAAGTTTGATTTTTTAATTTTAAGAATCTTTTAATATTGTTATATTAAAAGTTTATATTTATAAACTATTTCTTTTATTGTCCATCATCATCAAATATTATCTAAAGATAATTAATATTTAATTTTATCTTGAAGTTTGTTCTAGAACTTAAAAAGAAGACAAATGAATAAAATAAAATCTTGAAAAATAAATAAATCATTATTAATTAACTTCGATAGCTGATTATATTTGCTACTCGTTTGTAAATGAAATATCATTATTTTATATAAAAGCAATCGTTTATCGATTTCTATTATAATTAAGAACAATACATTTTTATGTTCATATATAGACGCACAGATTGAACTGCATATCTAATAAATAATAATGCTATCGAGATCAGTTCCTCTTCCTGTTCTTATTTTAGGTTTATTGATATTGTTTTCTAAATTACCATCAGAGAAATAATTGTAGTAAATAAAATTAGATCTGTTAGATTATTGTTATTTTAGAGGTAATTCTATATATTATAATGGAATTACTTCTTTTTAAATGAAAATCTTAACGAGTAGTTCAAAAAAAAATATACAAGTTAGTAGAGATTCTGTAATTTGTAGTATTAAATCATTATTCCTATTTATAATTAACTAAAATAAGTTTAAATCAAAGTGTACATAAATGACTAAGCAGAATATTACAACTAATTGCATCAATGGAAATATTATGCAATGTTTGTTCAAATATATGGAATTGAAATAATAGCGAATTCCCATTAAATTTATAATATTTATGCAAAAATATTTATATTAAATCATTAAATTTGCCACAAAATAACAATGAATAAAGTTGATTCAGCAGATTTTATATGTATTTTAATATAATTAAATAAGTTTGTTATTTATAAATGTTCAACACATAATTTATAGTTGATTTGATTTGATTTGAATTAAATTAAAATTTTGTGTTTTTATAATATATAAATTATCGAAATTTATAAAGAAAGCCTATTAATAATAATTTATGCTTATTATATATTTTATTTAATAAATATATATCGAATAGTCTCAATTGAATATATATTCTTTAGTTTCATTTGAAGTAATTAAATTTTATTAAATAAATTTGATGAAGAATTTTTTTTATTTTAGACTTCATGATTAGATTATTTAATTGATATTTAAAAAAATTCAATTTAATTATATTTTTATAAACTAATTATAATCTAATTCTAGGTCTTCTTCTTCAATTTTCATTAATAATGGCATAAGATGGCTATTTAATAATTAAATTCTTACTTAATTTCTTGTTAATTTAATTAACTAATGTCAATTTCATTTTTAGATATTAATCCATCATTATTGCTATCTAACAGTTAAAAAAGTTGATAATAATATAAGTTTTATTTTAGTAAGTGAGTTTTAATCATTATATTTAATTGACTTGGCAAATTTTCATTCTTTTATTTTTGATATTTATAATTTTAATTAATTGCAGGTTGAAATGTACAATTATCATCTACTTAATCTAATTTATCAATATGAATATGCTTGTTTTTATTCCTTTCCAATTATTTAAGTAATCCCTTTTAATATAGATGTTAATATCTATTGAAATCTTGAGATTGATTTGGATAGTTTAATTTTGGATTAAAAGTGCATTGAATACTTAATGCCTAATCCTATTACTAACGTATATTTTCAATGTTTTATTGAATTTTTCTTTAAAATAGTTTATTTCTATCAAATAATTATGGTTTATCAAACAAGAACTCATCTAATTTATAGGATTATTTAAATTAAATATTTGATTAACATTTTGTATCATTATGTCTTTCATAATATTCATTTAGATATTAATATTGAGGTAGATGTGAAGCTGATTCAATAATTTTCAATAATTTTTAGGTGATTAATTTAGCATTTGTTAAATCTAAGTTAAATTAATAACAAAATAATTCCCCTAGTTATTATGGAGAGTAATATGTATTAATGTAAAAGATTTCATTAGTATCCTCTATCTAAAATGAAAGTAATTAATTTAAGTGCTCTGAGTTGTTGTAATTCATTTATCAACTGCTAAATTTAAGTATTAAATAAAATTTTATTGAAAAAATGGGGAATAGAGTATATATCATAAAATCTGCAGACAATTCAATTTTTAATTAGAATCAACCACTAGAAGATTAATTTGAAAGCATGGGAGGATAATCTTTCCCTCATATTGACCGAGTTGAACTTTATAAATTAAAAAGAGAGAATACTAAATATGCAACCATCTTTGAAAAAAGACATTCGAATACAGCAACAGATGATGAAGGTCCATTGCTAGAACTTCATGAATAACTTATGCTTCTTAAGCATAATCATTTGGTTAAATATTATGGTCTTTGTATCGATCCTAATCTAACAACAAATTTATAAATAAGCAGATGGTTTTATGAAGCAGTGTATAAAACCTTAAAATAAGTTTGTGGACATCATTTTTCAAATAAGAACTATATCCCAGAGAGATAACTTTGGAAGAGTCTTCATGAAATATTATTAGCTTTACATTTTCTTGATGCAAGATAAAAATGGCATACTCACATTCAACCTGATTCAATTTATTTAGATAAAAATGATTCTATCAAACTGATTCCAAAAGGAGTTTTAAGACTTTTGAGTGGATATTAAATAGTACTAACAGGAAAAGGATAAGCATTACTATCTCCTTAATAAATGGAAGGATTGAGATAAAAGTTAGAAATTCCAATTCATGACATACAAAAGTCTGATGTTTTTTCATTAGGAATGACATTTTTAGAGTTAATGACACTCAAGGATAGTTTTGAGTGTTATAATTATGATCTACATAATCCATATATAAAAGATTAAATATTGTAAGAAAGACAATTAGAAATTCAAAATATTGGATATTCTACTGATCTAGTCAGGATTGTCTTGACTATGTTATAATATGAAGAAATTGATAGACCAACTTTTCTTGAATTATTAGTATAATAATAATATTATATAGAACTCAAATGAGATTACTTAGAATCTAGAAAATTCAAGAAATCATCCATTACAACCAACTACTCATACTCCTAAACAAGAATTAAAGATATTTTAAAATAGATTTCCATCAGATTCTTCAAATTTATAGATAGTTTAACCTAGCATTCCTATTACTAATAATTAATAATAAATACAATCATCTCCTATCAGGATATAATCATAAGTGGTTCCTCCTCAATATTTACCTATACATAATCCTAAGTAATAGGAAGCGGATCGTTAAAGATAAGAGTAGATTTTAAGAGAACAATAAATATAATAGCATTTATAATTATAATTAAGACAATAATAATAACTATTACAATAATAATAATAATAATAACAATAATAATAACTATTAATTGAACAATAATAACAATAAATAATTCTTTATTAACAATAACTAGATAAGTTAAAGAACTTAAAGCCTTAGCCTAAAATAAAGGAATAATAAGCACCAAAATTATAGGATTACATGATTCATCCATTACCTACTCCACCAATCGTTTTAGATCCTAATGCACGAAATTCAACTGTTGATGAGTTCTAAGAAAGCCAAGAACTCAAAAATAGAATAAATTCGGCTTTAGCATTATCAAAATAAGCTATTAACAAATATAAATGATTATATTATTTATTTTATTATGAGAAGAACAACTTAAACATAATAACCAACCTTGTTTGATTAAATAATATCTTAAACAAATAAAGATGAGTAAAGTTAAGAGAAATAATCTAAATAATCTAAAGTAAATTAGAGTTAATAATCAACATATAATAAAAAATCTCTCCATAATTTAGTATTTAATATATTTAACTTGTAGCAAGAAATAGTTTATTAAAAGGCTTTTGATTATCAGGAATATAAACAATCCTTGCGATATAATAACAAAAACCTTAAAAAAATTGTCTTATAAAACATTAATAATCCTCATGAAAAGCTAATTCAAAGTTTAATTAAATACCCCCTAAGCAGTTTAGAAGAACTTACTTTAGAAAATGTTGAAGTGACAGATTCTTAATTTCAAATATTTTAGTAAAAAGGAGGACTTTCGAAATGCTTTCCAAATTTAACACATCTTACACTTAATTGTCCTATCATGACCTCACTTTCTATTAATTATTTATTCTAAGGCATCTAAACTCTTTAACATTTAGATTTAAGCAATACTTAAATTGATAATTAAGGTATTTACAATTTATGTTAATTGAAATGGCCCTTTTTGATTAATTTTATTATATAATGGTGCAGCAGAATTGATAATTTAGATGAATTAGGTGAGAATGCTGAGAACTTTCCTAATCTACAATATATTGATTCTAGATTTACTTAAACAGATAATTGGGCATACAATTCAATTATAAATTCAAAAATTAGTGTTACTTTAAATCAATTAAGATTATTTGGAACTCATGTTGATTTAGAAACTACTTAATGGAAATCCTCCTACTTAATGAATCTGTTTATGAAAACAATGAAAGATTATAATTTTTAAGAATTTAAAATCTAAAATAATCTTGCCTGTACTTAAAGTTCAAGTGATTATAAATAAATGAAAATTAATACATGTAATTAAATAATAAATCAATAGTAATATCCAATGAAAGTTAAAAAATGCATTTGAATATTTCTTGGAAAATTACCCCTCAATAAGGCGTGTTATAATTTGTCAATACCGCAGAAAATGTGAGAAATAAGTTTGCTAATTTTGGAAAGTTATTTGAATTCCTTTAAAAGTAATGGTAACTTCGAAGATCTTTATTAAGTCTTTGCATTATTTTTGATTAATTCTTATGTGATCCAAACAATTTTGATATTGTTTTAAAAACTATTATTGATTTTAAAGAGTTGAAAAAATTGAAATTTTATGTAAGCAATTAAACATTGTTAAATCCTTCAAATTACTTCTTTTATTTTAATTAAATTGGTGAATTAAAATAACTAATGTATCTTTAAGTAAAGTATTTTAAATATTATAGTTAGATTTATAAAATAATGAAATTGTTATTAATGAATCCTTTTTAAATAGAATTATTAGAACCATTTAATAATTATCATATTTGAATTTATTTTACTTAAATATAAGGTTTAATGAAATTAAGAATATCAAAGATTTACACAACTTCAATTCTTAAATTATTAATTCTATTAAGAACCCTTACTTGAATCACATTTATTTAATTGAAACTAAAGAAGAAAATTTGAATTATAGATTTAAATAGGCTCTATCTTTAATTCATAGTAATGCTTCAAAATTTATAAATATAAATTAATTTTAAAATATTATACTTTAAGAAGATGCTCAAAATTATAAGGAAAAGATTTTTAAATATTAGACAGAACTATTTTATAAGAAAAAAATGTAACTAATAAGATGCTGTGTGTTAAGTAATTTTCATTAATTCAATTATGGAAATAGATTTAGATAATAAGTGATTTATTAAATTTTAGACATGATAATTAATAAGTGATTTTTTTTTATTTTGATTATTCTCTTATATATGATTCATTAAATAAAATATTGCATCAGTATATTCATTATATAGATTAAGAAGAGCATCTATAATAAGATATATTTTATCATTTTAAATACTATCCTGTTAATTAACGTGATTATGCTTTTTTATAATTTAAAATATAATTATAATTTGATTAAAAACTATTAAAAAATTCATCTAGACTTCCTATATTATCTCAGGTTTTATCTTTATAATTCTTGATGTTTTGTCAAATGTTACTTATTCTAAACATTCTACTAATTCTTTGTTAATTGTGGCTGAATTGTGAATAATTGTATTGTGATAAAGATAAGTTGGAAGGAAAACCATGTCTTTTTATACAACCAATTTATTCTTCTAAGAATTAGATTTTATCAAAGACACTTTCATATATATCAACTATATGAATAATTTGAAGTGATAAAGTTTATATATTAAATATTATTAATATAAGCACTTAACAAGATTTTTTAAGTAACAAAATTAAAAGTATCTAATTTTATAAAGTAGATGAAGATTTATCCATAATTCAAGCAAAAATAATTCTTTTAGATAAGATTAAAATATAGATCTATCAATACAGCTATAAATCCTAGAAAGAAATGAAATAATATTATTTTTTAGTTATTTGTAAAAATCAATTCTTTCCCTTTCTTTATTTTTTAGATCGAGCAACATCCACAACATTCTTTGTTGGGGTTGACTGTGTAGTGTTACTCAATTAAGAGGGATAAATTTATTTTTCAGGTGTACATGAAATATTATTGTCGCTATTATTATTATTATTATTATTATTATTATTATTATTATTATTATTATTATTATGATTATTATTATTATTATTATTATTACTATTATTATTACTATTTTTGCTATGATCATCAAGTTCTTTCATTATTTATTCAAAAGTATTTCTTAACTTTTAGACTGCTTTTTATTTTTTTAGATTTAATTTCTTTTTATGAATTTCTAGATCCGATAAATCTTTTCTTAAGTCAAGAACAATATTATTTGAATTCTAATAAAAGGAAATTGATTTATTAATTTCATTTGTTGATAATTGTGATATTTATGTATTTTACAAATCAATCTTCTATTCCACTTTTTAATTAAAATCATTGACATAAGTTACAAAATCTATCTTTTCATTTCTTATCTCTTCCTTAATTTAATCTTTATAATCTGTCAATTTTTAAATGAGATTGTTCATGCAAGTATCAAATTCTTAATCCACTTATTCAGAATTATTTTGGATAGGCTAAATTGAAATGGTAGACAGATTTTCAATTTTTTCTTTCAATTCAGCCTCAAACTCTGATATTAATTTTCTATGATGAGAAACCAAATCATTTGGTACATGAAATTCCAAAAAACAATCAGCACAGCCTACTTTTAACATGTATGTAGTACCTATCTTTTATTCATGGTTACATTTTTTGTCTAAGCAGATGTATTTAACTTTCTGACAATCATGGTGTTTAATTCTGCACTAATTCATATATAAATTTAATTAATGAGCGCCAAATATAATTAATCAATTCCTAAACTATCTCTATATCTGGCCATCAGGATAAATTATATCTACATTTCCGTTTGGATATTCAATTTACTTTACTTTTTAACTATCAATTTTTTATATTATCCCATCACTAAAAAATGTCTATTCTTCACCACTATCATTAATGTACTTTTCAGTTCCATCCCCAAATCGAATTTCCTTAGTGCCATCAGTAAGATGTATCTCAATCTATTAATTTGAAAATCGGTAAATCTTAAAAATATATGTAAATATATTACATTTGGTCCATTTGAAATTGTAATCTAAGTTGTGCTAGCATCAGCAAAGTAATATATTACTGTTCCATTAGGTAAAGTTTATTTTATATCTTTATTTGTAAAGTGAACAATAACATATCCATCAGGAAATACTTCCCTTTTGACTCCATTATGGAAAACTACTTCTTTTTTACCATTTGAATATTATCTTGATATCTTACCATCAGGTCCAACATTATGATTAATTATTTTTGAAGGAATATCCTTATTCTTTTTGTAGCTTTGATAGAAACGATTTTGATCATAGTTAAATTCCTATTCAGATATCACACTATTTATATTTTTTATAGTAAATGGGATGCCCTCATTTTACATTTCAATTAAATCATATTTTTTACTATTTTATTATTAAATGTTTTTTTTCTATTATTCTTATCTACAATCATTATATTATTATTCATCATCACTATTGTCTTCATTTTAATATTCTTCATCATTTTTATCATCATCAACTTCTGAATTTTATTTAATATATTCTTTTATTGATTGCTTATGCTTAATTTAGAATTCCTCCCCAAAACTGGTAGGACTTTATCTTCTATTATTTTATTAAGGAACTTCTTTCTTTTAAGAAAGTCCAGAAACATTGGATTTTAATTAGATTTACTATGATTTGCTTTATTAAATTGTAGCTTAAGAGTTTGGTCGTTTTTATTCTAAAAGTCTAAGTTCCAATGCTTTTACTTCTGCTTATAATTCTTAATTTCTTTATAAGAGTTCTTCATTTTATTTCTTTAATCTATCATAAGATAGTTTATTCTTTTAATCTTTTTGCTTTTATTCTTCCGTTAATTTTTATACCTATTATTTCAATGATTCTATTTCTTCTCTCTCTTTTCTATTAGGTAAATTTTAAATAGTTTTTTATTGCCTGTCTTAAATTCTTTTTTCTCTCAACATTTTCTTTTTCTCTTCTTCTTTCCATTCTTCTAATTCAAGTTTTTCTATTTCTTTTTACTTTTCCCATTCTTCCCTCTCTCTTTGTAATTATCTCAATTAATCATCACATTTTACTTTGGCTTTCTTAACCTTTTCATTTTCACTTTTAAATTTAGCAATTTCAGCATTTAAATTATCAATCTTATCTTAGACATATTTTCTAACAATTTCTTCTTCATTTTCTTATGGTTAAACTTTTTCTTATTTTTTCTCTTTTGCATCCTTTTCTTTCTTTAATCCAAAATAAGTGGTTGCAATCTTTGATTATTTAGGAGGTTCATCATTCCAATCTTCATTATCATCAAACTAATATTCTTAATATGAATCCTAATTATTGTCAGATTCCTCTTTTTATTTCAGAGATTTTTACTGTACTTATAATTATTATTATCTAGCTTGTTATTATTTAGGTTATTCCTTTGGTAATTCTTATTTTTTTGGTCTTTATTAGACTTCTTTTTACTCCTACTTAAATTCAACTTTTTATTATTATTGTTATTATATTCTTTAAGTTTTAATTTAATTGTTTTAATTTTATATAAGTGGAGTACCTGAAGCATTATTTTCTTTTAAAATTTCAGCATGTTCTTTCTTAGCAATATCAGATCTTTATTAAGCATTTGATAAAAATTATCTTGTTCCTTTTTTCAAGAAAGATTTCTTCTTTACTCGACCTTATTCATCTTAATTAGCCTCATCAAGAGGTTTTTTTAAATTATTTCTTGGAGGAATTTAATCAAAATCTTAGTTTTTATTTGTTTTAATTGGCATATCATCAAATGTGTTTTATTTTGTTTTAATAGGAATATCATCAAAATCTTAGTTTTTATTTGTTTTAATAGGAATATCGTCAAATGTGCTTTTATTTGTTTTAATTGGAATATCGTCAAATGTGCTTTTATTTGTTTTAATTGGCATATCATCAAATGTGCTTTTATTTGATTTAATAGGAATATCATCAAATGCTTAATTTTTATTTGATTTTATAGGTATATCGTCAAATGCTAAATTTTTATTTGTTTTAATCGGTATATCATCAAATGCTTAATTTTTATTTGTTTTAATAGGTATATCATCAAAGGAATTAATTTTATTTTTAATAATTTAGTCATCATAACCTTTTTTAGATGGTTTTATTGGCATTTCATCAAAAATATTTTAATTTTGCTTTTATGATTATATTGGAATTTCATCAAAAGGGTTAGAGTAATTTGTTTTCTTATTTGTTTGATCCTCCAACTATTTCTATTATTTCTAATACGATTGTATTTCTTACTATTAATTTTTAGTAAAATCATCTTATTTTTTATTTCTGAGAGTCATATCTTCAATATTATTGTTTTTCATTGGTTTTATAGGCATTTCATCAAATGGATTAGATTATTATCTAAAATCACATTCATCTTATTAAAATAAAGTATTTTTTTTTAGATTGGATCTAAATTATTATTGATCATGATTTGCTTATTGTAAAGACATATCATCAAAATTTGATGTTTTTTTTTATTGTTATTTATATTATTTAATGTAATTGTCATCATTATCTGATTAATCAAAATTTTATAATTATTATTTAATTGATCTCTAATCTCCTTATTCATACTGTCTTTGCTAACGTTATTTTTGATCTTATTTATTTTTATATTAATTAAAATCATCATTTTCTGGTAAATTATAATCATGAAACTCATTTCTGTAATTTTATGTTAATTATATATCATCAAAATGTAGTTATCTATTAGTGTTCACATTGGTTTCCTACTTAAAACTAATACTTACTTCTTAATATTTGGTAGGATTATAAGTATTTATAAATTTCGAAGACTATTGTAATTAGCATTCTTCAGGTTTCATTTGATTGTAGAATTAATTCATATCATATACTTTGTTATGGTAAAATTTTTCTAAATCAAAACCTAAACATAAGTATTTCCAATACCAGATGATTAGCTTTGCATCATCTACATCATTTGTTATTGAAATATTTTCATCATATTCTACATCATGAATTCGTTGGGATTGATGTTTTGATTAGTCATATCATTTTAGAAGATTTGTTAACCAAAGTTACTTCGTTGTTATTGCATATGGAAATTGAATTCAAATTTTAACAATTAATAACTTCAAAATTAACTCCAAAATTCATAAAGAAATTGGGCTTGGTGATCATTTTAAATCTTCTTCAATTATTCACAATGTTGCAAGGCTTCCTTAATAATGGCATTAGTTTTGCTTTCATCAATCAATTTTTAAGTACGAAGTTTAAATTATAATAAATATAATACTTGAATATATGGAAATCTATCTTATACATATAAAAAATTACCTATTTTCTCTTTCTTCTTCAATAACCTATTTAATGAAGTCAATGTTTTCTTCAAGATATTTATGAATTTCATTTATTGCATTTTAGAATTCTTGTTAAATTGTATTAGTATATGTAAATCCATCATTATTTTTTGTTAAATTTATTTCACTTGGAACCATAAATTTTGATGATTCATCTTCACTAATTATTGTTTCTTTAGATTAATTTTCATAAATTTAATTATGTATCTTAATTTTTAAGTTAGTTATTTATTGTTCTTCAAATGATATAATGACCCTTATGCCTTCAACTTTTATATTAATTATTTTTAAGACATTTTCCTAATTGAAAATTTCAAAAGAATTCTCAACATTAGTAACTGGTCTATTAAATTATAATTATATTGAATTATTCTAAACTTTTTCAATTTTTGTTACACCAAAAGGTTAAACAACTCCTACTAACCATCTATGATATAAATAAACACCATGTTCTTTAGGTTATATATATATGGCTTATTATATTAATTCTGTTTCTTATTTTAATCTTTCAAAAGGCAAAGGCAATAGACCTAATATTTATTCTGTTTTAATTCTTTCAATAATATTTTCAGATTAATTATAATTTTTCATAAAATATTTGCTTCTGAAATGATAGGCTGAAAAATTACTAAAATTTTATTCAATCTAAATAATTAAATTAAATATACTTTTTTCTTAGTGAATTCATCTTCCTTACCAAAGGCACTAATTGATGATAACCAATTTCTATAATTCCATACATGAAAATTTCTTTCATCTCTATCTAACATTTTGCTACATAATTCATATTCTTGTTTAATAGCTTCTATTAATTTAAACTGATTTTCTTAATTACTTTATAATATGATTAATTATATACATTTAACTTATAAGTTAATCTATTTCTTAGCTTCTTAAAACCATCCATTATCTATGAGTCCAAAGAGTGTATGATTTAGGATGTTATTTTAATAGTATAGTTATTAGCATAAACTCAGATTAAATTAATTTGACTAATTGCTTATATATATCTATGTTTTTTGATTCTGAAAGTAATCCTCCTAAGTGATCAAACTTTGTTTAAAGTACTTCTCTTCTATAATTATAAATAGTAGCAATTTCAGGACATAATTTAGCCATAAGTTCTGAAAATGCTAATTAATCTTCAGGTTAATTCACTTAGTTTTTTCTTACTTTAAAAAAATAGTCTAAAGAATCTAAAATCTATTATCCTTTTTCTGCTCTTAGCTTTATCTCTTCTTCAGATAATATTTCAGCCTTTAATTTAGATTATCCATGCATCATCTTTTATCAGAATATATAAAATTAAATAAAATAATTTAAAATACATCATTTGAATAAACCTAAGTTATTTCTTTTTCTTCCTGTATATTTTGTTGTCTTTTTAACTTTTCTACCTAATCTAACTTATTTTTCTTTTCTTTTCATAATCCATAATTTAGATTTTTCATTTATTTTCTTATACTTTTTTTATTTCTTTATTTTCTTTTATTATCTACCAATAACTTTAACTTTTTCTTCATCTGATTCTTCAACTAATCCTTAAATAATATCCATAGTCTTTTTTGATGATTATCCTCCTAGTTGTACAACAAGATAAAGCTTTTTGGCTTTAGCAGAATTAGGATAATCAACAACAATGTCACCACTAAAACCTAATTACATAACTCTTCTTTAGAATACCTGCTCTTAAAGCGGCACTAGTAATCATATTTATTTATTCATTGTTTTCAGGATAAAATTGAAAAACAGCTCTTGCATTATTTTTTAAACAATTTCTTAGTGATTCAAAGAAAACAGTACATCTTCTATAAGGATTTTCTGATTTTTTAAAACTCACACATAACCATTAAATAACAGAAATAGAAATAGCAGCATCAAAAACACCTGGTCTAAATTTAAAACCTTGACCAATATCACATAATAATAATTCTCCTTCTGTCTTTTCTTATTGAGCTACATTCAACATTGATTCTGAAATATCTAATCCTACCCAATTCACTCCTTCTTATGTTAGATAAAATCCTGAGATTCCGGAACCACATCCAATATCAAGTACTAAACTACATTCATCAGGATTTAGATCCAATAATTAAATAGCCCTTTCACTTAATTAGGTTTGAATATTGATAATTCTATTGCAATTAGTATATTTAACACTCTCCTATTGATTATAGTACTAGAGAAGAATTAGATTATGATATTTACTAAATTTGGTGGTAATTGTGATTCTGGTCGTGACATTAATTTTAATAAATTAATTTTAATGTTTTATATTCTCAGATTAAGCGGAGCATCATATCCTTAAATTCTTTAAGAGAAAGCAATCCATCTCCATTTTTATCCACTTCTGACATCAAAGTCTCCCAAGTTTCTTAAGGAAGTTTATTTCCAGATTAAAACATTTATTTCAACTCTTCAATTGTTATTGTTCCACTATTATCTTTATCTATTACTTTAAATGCTTATTCTAATCGTTCTTAAGTTAAGGCAGTTTTTCTATTTATAGTTGCCATCACAAATTCTGAATAATCAATAATTCCTGATTAATTTTTATCAACTGATTGCATAATTTAGTCAACTTATAAAATGGCTTCTGATTCAGGCATAATTCTCATATAACCCTCAAGTAATTCCTTTTTTGTCAAAACGCCATCAGAATTTTTATCAAGACTTTAAAAAGTTTTTAGCAATTCTTCTTTCTCCTCTTTTGTAGCGAATTGTTTAATAATATACATGTAGGCAGCCTCTTGAATTCTTTAAGTAGTCTATAATAAGTTAAATTTATATATAGTACTCTAAAGGTTTTCATATTGGTTAATACACTTTCAAGAACTGGAGCTTTGACTTCTTCTTTTGTATATTAGAGTATCCAAGGATCATTGAGACAATCTTAAGCTGAATATCGTTTAGATTCTTAATATTCAAGCATTTTTCGAATTAATTATTTAGCTTCTGGTGAAACACCTAACCATTAAGTTGAAGACAATGAATATGTTCCCTTTTTTATTGATTCAAAGATGTCATCATCTGTATCACCATCAAAAGGTGGCTTACCACTTAACAAAATATATAAAACAACTCCAGCTGACCAAATATCACATTTCTCATTATACTATTCTGTAAACATCTCAGGTGCCATATAGTAAGCCTTTTTAAAAGTTAAATTATACTTACTGTCCCAATAATCTCTCTTAAATTCTTTCCTGTAGTTCTTTTAGAGGTACCAAAATCAATAACTTTTAACTGACTATTTTTTTTATCACTCTCATATAATAAATTCTCTGGTTTAATATCTCTATGAACTATCCTTTAATTATGACAATAAGCTAAAGCCTACAAAATTTATTTCATTATTTTTGCTGCATCAACTTCTGTAAAATTATGAATTTCCATTAATTTATCATATAATTCTCCACCAGTACATAGTTCAGTTATTATATATAATTTCTGATTTATTTCAAAAAAATCAAATATCTTTATTATATTTGGATGATCCTATACTTAGTTTTTTAGTTTACAAGCGATTTCAATATATTAACTTCATTAATAATATTTTGATATTCATCAGAGTGTTTACTATTTATTTGCTTAATTGCTCTAAATTATCCACTTGCTTTATGTTTTGCTTTCCAAACTACTCCAAAAGCTCCTTCTCCCAAAGGAGGTTGAATCAATTCATAATCATTCAAAGAACCTTATGAACTTTCATAGATGTCTTTATAAGGTTAGCGATGTTCCTATTTATATTTTGATAAATTATACATCACATTCTATTTCCTTTTATTGCTATTTGCATTAACAAGAACCCATTTTATAAATGAATAAAATAAACAAACAAATTATTTAATATCTTGATTTTATAATAAATTATTTTATATTTAATATATTATTTTACATTGTTTTAGTATTTTAATAGAAAATGAATGTAATTAATAATTACACTATTCATAAAGAAATTGGTAAAGGAGCAACTGGAAAGGTGTATCATGTAACTGATGAGAAAAATTATCAATATGCTTTAAAAGTTTAGCATAATCTAACAGAATCTGAAAAAAAAATGAATGAGTAAATTAAGGAAATAAAATTCTAGAATGTTATCAACACTTACGATTAATTTCAATATTAAAGTATTATATAATGCTTTTGTATTATTATGGATTTTTGTAATTTAGGAGATCTTTATGAATATTTGAATAAATATCGTTTAATTTTAAATATTTAATAGAAATAGAATATGTTATTTTAAGTAAGTGTCTGTTTCTATTCAAGATAGCTTTTGGAATTTGGGAAATCCATTAATTGAATATTATACATCGAGACATCAAACCCTAAAATATACTCTTATAGTGCTTTGATCAGAGAAATTTATAATTAAAAATTTGTGATTTAGGATTAAGTAAATTACAAGAAAATTAAAATCTAAACACTGTTAATGTAGGAACTCCTTATTATATGGCCCCAGAATTAATTGATTTTACCCAAAAAAAAGGAATATATGACAAATCTGTTGATATATGGGCATTTGGAGCACTCATTTATGATTTCTTTTCCAATTATTAATTATTTTATGGTCTCTAAATATACTAAATTTTTGACTAAATAAAATAAGCCAAAGACTTAGATAAAAAGCTTAGAGAAAAGATTAATGATCCACTACTTTTAAATATTGCAATAAGTTGCTTGTCTTATGAACCATCAAAAAGACCCGATATTGAATAAATCCTTCTTGAGCTTAATCAACCTTTGTTTTAATACCAATAAAAAATATTTAATGAGTAAAATTAACGTTGGTTATAAGTTTAGGATTAGTCCTAAGAATAATATAAGAATTAATAAAAAATAGAATATTAAAAAGCAAATTAAAATAATTCATAAATATAAAATTTAGATTTGAGTTAAAGTTCACTCATTAATTAAACATAAAAAGAAAAATCTAAAAATCATATAAAAAATTAGGTTAGATTAAGAATTTTTTTATCTGATTAAGCCCTAATAGAATAATTATGCATAATGATAGAGGAAGGTAATCAAAAAGATGAGATTTTAAAACACATGAATGAATCTTTAAGAAACAAACTTTAAGCTAAATTATATTAAACTAATTGATAAATTAATTAGCTTATTATTAAATTTAGAATATAATATTTAATGTATATTTAAATTTAATAGTTCAAAGTTTTTCTTATTCTTATTCTTATTATCTTTCATCTTATTCAAGTTCTTCAAGTTTTCTCTTTAATTAAGTAACAGTATTTATCATAAAATCAAAAGAGACTTTTGATTAATCTAAAGTAGATCTTGATGATTTAGATTACATAGATTTATTTGTTGACATATTTAAGCCTTATTTATTTAGATATATCTACAATAATAATATATATTTATACTCTTTAAGTACTTGGTATCTTTAATTTCATTTAATTTATCTGACTAGAAGACTATCTTTATAATTAAAAATATTTATTTGATAATGTTGTACTAGGTATAATAGTTTATGGAGGTTATTAATTAGATTAATTAGATTATTATGATTGGTGTGTTTATTGTAACTTTTTAGTTGTTTATACAGATGGTTATGATGCCTTTTAAGGAGTTTGTTCAAGTTATTTTGTTCCTATTTCTTAAGTTGTTAAATTTTAAGATTTTCTTGACATCCTTTTTTATTTATCTAATGGTAATTCTGAGATAGATGGGAGATTTGGTAATTAATTAAAAGTTATTCTATTAACATTCAAACTTGTATTAGATAAAAGAAGTTTTTCTTTTTCATTTTCTTCTTTGGTGTTTACAATTTTTCTTAATTTTTAAGACATAATTTCTCTAAAATTGATAAATAAAAATTCTTACGCTTTTCTTTCAAATAATGTTTATTCACAACATTAAGTATATTATAAAAAACAATCTAAACAAACTTAGGTTTTTAAATCTTTCCAACTTTAATTATTTTATAATTATTAATATTTTTCTTCATTTATTTTACCCCAAACTTTTAAAATTAAAGGAGGAATATGATTAAAATTAAATTTCTAATCTTCTTATTCATCATTTAATAATTAAACTAATTCTTTAATTTATGTATATAATTCATCTTCAGTTAATTTATTTTTGAATATTTTTTTTTTCTCAATCAAAATAGCAGTTTGTTAATTATCATTTTAAAATTCATTTTAAATCTCATATTCTAAATTTAATAATAATTTTCTACCTTCTTTTAAATTTTATTTTTATCTCATCCTAATATTTCTATTATAAGTGACTTTTGGAATCTATTAATCTTATTTCTATTTAATCTTTTCTAGTTCTTCAGGTAATCTAGTAAAATCTTTTTTTACTAAATTCTTATATTTTAAATTAATACTTATTAAAAGCTTTCAATAATGAATTATAATTTTAATTGATATAGTTAATTAGAAAATCTATCACAATTACTACATATATTTTTAAATTGATAAAGAAGAGATTACATTTCACCTTAATTATTTATTTTAATAACAGTCTAAGCCTATTCTTTTGCAAAAGATACTGGTTCTTAGTCTTTTCTTAAAACTCTAAATATAGGAGAAAAAACTCTTGGCTATTACAATATGTCATTGAACTTATCCTTCACCTTAATATTAGTACAAAAAAGCAACCATATCCTATTTTCATAATCAACTTTAAAATATAAGACCATTCTTATTATTTAAATATTCCCTCCTGATACTTCTAATATGTGTTTAACAATATTCACACATAATTACTCTAAATCTGCACTTAATAAAGGCGAATTTATTGAATCTCCTTATATTAAATATTCTGGTCCATCAAATGTAGCAACTCTTTCAACTTGAGTTTTCTTCATATCATTCATTTTATTAATATTTGTTTTCCTCATAACCAAACAAAATTAAGGAGACCAGGTTACTCTAATCATTGAATTTTAATCATTTTTTGGATAAATAAACCTTATTATAAATTGATTCATACTTTTATAATACTAAATTTAAGTCTTTCTCCCTTTAATGAAGAAATATTTTAAAACTTTCATAATCTAAATACTCAAATGTAATTATCTCTTATTATTTGTTTTGCATCTGATGTTTATTTATAATTTTTATATTATACCTGACTAGTAATTAATTATGCTACTGTATTTTCTTATTTAAATGAACTTTCAACTTGATCAATGAATACTCTCTCTTTAGTTTTTCTTATTACTTAACCATCCTATATAGTAAAATATCCTTAACATTATAAATAATAATTACTAAAGTAAGGCTGAGCCCATCTATAAATTACTGAATCTGCAACAAAAATTCCATCACAACTATGCCCAGTTTTTGGATTTTTTTTCCATATATGGAAGAATAACCATTCAGTACATGTCCCTAATTTCATTAATATTAATTTAACTAATTAATAATCTAACAATCTAATAATGCAAAACACAATCAAAGTTAATAATAAAGAATATACTATTTTATATCAAATTGGATAAGGAGCTGCAGGAAAAGTGTTTAAAGCTCAATATTAGAATGAGTTATATGCTATAAAGAAACAGGAATTCTTTGGAGAAGGAGAATTAGAGTTTTACGATCAGTTAATTCAATAAAAATTCAAAAGATGTAAAAATTTAATACAAATCTACGACTTTGAATAAATTGGTAGGTTCTCATATATTGTAATGGAATTAGGTGATTCTTGTTTATATAACGAACTTATTTAGAATAAAATAGATTAAAAAAATATTCGATTTATTATAAAATAGATTGGCTCAGGAATTAAAGAATTACATGAGATGGGTTTGGCTCATAGAGATTTAAAACCTGAAAATATTTTAATTAAGACTATCTTTTCAAATGATAAAAATGAATCATAGTAAGTATTTAAAATATGTGACTTTGGAGTTGTAAAGAATATTTCAAACCTAAAAACTAAAGTTGTTGGAACTCCTTATTATTTAGCTCCAGAATTACTAACCAATAATAATGATTATTATTCTACAAAATGTGATATTTGGAGTTTTGGAATTCTAATATATGAAATATTAACTAGATAATTGATGTTTAAAGGTATTTAAATTATATAACCTCTTTTTAGGTAAAACATTTTAAGAAATTTCCAATGCAATTTTATCAGCTACAGATGATTATATCTCAGATCAAATCAATTAATTGAAAATTGAAGTTGATTATAAAGAACTTTTAAAAAATATGTTGAAGGTAAATTCTAACCAACGATATAATATTGATCAAGTTTTAGAAGCTTTGAAACCTAAATCTAGGTCAACTTCTAGATAAAGATAAAATAATTTTTCTATGAATCCTCCTCCTTAAATTAGTATAAGAAGTTAATTTTAAAATAGAAATAATTAACTATCATAATCTCCTTTTAAATAAATTTAAAATTTTAATATTATTTAATAACAATCTATTATTTAAAAACCACAATAATATCAAAATAAGTCTTAATAAAATAATTTATCAAATGTAAGATAACTTTAATTTTGAAATATAAATATAATATAGATAGATATATATTAATGCTAAATCAAATACAATTCAAAATTATTTATTTATTTATTTTAAAAGATCTTCCATTGCTTAATTATGAGTTGCTAAACCTTATTTGTAATCATTACAAAGATTTTTTACAAGCTAAATAATATTTTAGAAATATACCTAAAACACATCATTAAATTATTATCCATCCTCTTCTTGTACTTCATTAATTTGAAGTTTTAATTTTAATAGTTTTTCAGTAATATCTTAAATAATAATATATAATACCTGTAAGCACTTTCTCAATATTTGAAACTGATTCTATATATTTATCCACTTCTTATTATAATTAATTATCTAATTCATCAAGTCTTTAAACTAAATCTTAAATTTATTAATCATTATCTCCATTTCCTCCCTTCTTCTTTTTTAGTTTATTTAAATCATCTTGACTTTTGGCTATTTATTTTTCTAAATCTGATCTTCTTTTATCACTTTATGAAGATTCTTTATCTAAATTATCAAGTATTGGTTTTTATTCTTAAATAAATTTTCTTAGCTTTTCAATTTCTCCTTTAATATCATCTTTCTTTAGTTATTGATTTTCCTTTTATAATTAATCTATTTAATTTTATTTATCTTTAATTTCATCTTCTTATTATTTAGCTTATTCTTTAAGATCCTATACTTAAGCTTCAAGAGCATTACATTCATCATCTAGATCCTTATTTTCTTTCTCTTTTTATTTTAGTTGATTATTAGCTTTATCTAAATCTTTTTTTGCTTAATTTTATGCTTAAATAGCATTTTTAGCATCTTATTCAGCTTTTTATATTTTATTTTTAACTGTTTCAGGATCTAATTAAGCTATTTATTTTTCAGCTTAAGCTAATTTATTTTAAGTATCTTTTAATTGTTTTTTCAAATCATTTAAATTTTATAATTCTTATTTTAATTTTTCAGCCTCATTAACAGCTGCTTATCTTTATTAATCTAGTTAATCACATTCAGCATCTAAATCCTTTACTTATTTTTCTAATTCTTTTTTTTATTGATCTTTTTCTTTTTATTCTTTAAGATCTTTTTATTTCTACTCTTTTAATTTATTTAATTCATTTTAAACTTTTGTTAATTAATCTTCTTTTTATTTTAATGATTATAATGCCTTATTTAATTCATCATTAAGTCTTTTAATTTCTGAATTTTCTTGTTATTCTTTTATTTTTTATTACAGTTTTGCATCTAAATCATCACACTCTTTATTAAGATTATTAATCTCATTTTATAGGTTTTTCTTCTCTTTTTCTTGTTCTTTCAATTAATCCTTTAATTATTTAATTTCATTTTATGCTTCCTATAATTAATTTTTCAATTAATCCTAAGTC